AAAAAAAAAAAAAAAAAAAAGTTGTTATCCCCAGAGGTGCCATGAGGATAAAAGCCCCAGGAGGAGGATGGTAGAGCTGGAAGATATGTTTGGCTGCTGGTCCAGCCCTGGGACTGGCCTTCCCAGGCTGCTTCTATGAGAAATGAAATTCCTTAAAGTCCAGCTGCCAGATTTCCACCTGGGCCAGCTAAACAATGACAACTGCAACAACAACAAAAAAAGCTGGGCATTGTGGCAGGCACCTATAGTCTCAGCTACTAGAGAAACTGAAGTGAGAATCGCTTGAGCCTAAGAGTTTGAGGTTGCTGTGACACTACTGAGGGAGACAAAGTGAGACTTTGTCTCAAAAAAGTCTTGGGTCATTAGCCCTTGAGTACCCACCTCCTTATCCACGTTGCATTGCCCTTATTCACATTCTGCCGTTCTCCTTCCTAAGACAGTTCCCCAAAGGCAGAGCCTGCATCCTGCCTGTCCCTCATGCCCAACACAGGCCTAGCACAAATGGCTTTAATGAGCGTTTGTGAGATGGAAGCATGTATAGGACTCTGGCTGGTGCCTAAAGTTCACTTTGACTTGTCACAGATGGAAACACTGACCTCTTTGAATTGTGTACTTAAGGCATAGAACAAACTTTGTGCCCCAATTTGCCCTTGGATAGAATTAAAGGAGCCTTCCAGCAGTGAGGCAGCTGGCTGGGAGACATTGTACTGCAAAACCCTCCCCACTCCCTGCTTGCCTGTGTGAGGTATTCCTGATGCAGATCAGAGCAAATCCACACACTCCAGCAAGCGCCCTGCTCCCCTCATCCTTTGCAGTCTGGGTCCCTGCTCTAAGGAACTCCATGACAGAAGCCTTGAACACCAGGCACCAGATTAATTCCATGTCTACATTGCTCGGTTCATCTTCAGTCACCTGTGAGGTACATGTTGACCCTTCTCCAGAAGAGAGGAAGACAGGCCCAGGCGAGGTATGGAAGGACAATGGCAGGTCACGCCCAAGCTGGCCAACTCCTTACCGCCAGTGCCCAGTCATGCAGCCTCACAGAGCGTCTTCCATGTGCTCGACACCAGGCTAGACATCGGGGCCTCATGGGAGAGTGAGGCAGATGTGGCCCAGCCTCATCTCCTGGAATAGTCTGCCATCATGAGGTCCTCAAGATAAGGACCCTGGCTGGGAATGGTGGCTCATGCCTAGAATCCTACCACTCTGGGCTGAGGCAAGCAGATCACTTGAGCTCCCAAGTTTAAGACTAGTCTAAGCAAAATAGAGACCTTGTTTCTACTAAAAATAGAAAAATTGAGGCAAGTGGATTGCTTGAGCCTAAGAGTTTGAAGTTGCTATGAGCTATGATGCCAGGGCATGCTACCCAGGGCAACAGCTTGAGACTCTGTTTCAAAAAAAAAAAAAAAAGAGGACCTTTAGCCTTCAATTCCTTTGTATTTCTGGGCGGTAACCACCACTTTCATCCAATAACCTAGAACCCCAGGGCTGGCTCTGAGCGGATCTTTCCGTGTCAGGAAGGGTAGCCAGATCAAATGGTCTGAGAGGTCCAATTCCCTCTGTAGCCATCCTACTGTGTACGAGGGTGGGGCTGGGGGTGTCTTCCCCTTTTAACTATAGCCTGACCTGGAAGTGGATTCATCTGAGCTTCTCCTAAGCCCAGCTCAGCGTACCCCGGGGCTGATGCAGGGATAAAGTATGATACGGGTTGAATTGTGTCTCTCCTGGAAAAAGATGTGGAGTCTTAACCTCTGGAACCTCAGGTATGATCTTTTTTTCTTTTTTTTTTTTTTTTAGAGACAGAGCCTCAAGCTGTCCCCCTGGGTAGAGTGCTGTGGCATCACAGCTCACAGCAACCTCCAACTCCTGGGCTCAAGCGAGTCTTCTGCCTCAGCCTCCCAAGTAGCTGAGACCATAGGCGCCTGCCACAATGCTCAGCTATTTTTTGGTTGCAGCTGTCATTGTTGCTTGGCGGGCCGGGCTGGATTCAACCCCGCCACCTTAGGTGTATGTGGCTGGCGCCTTAGCCACTTGAGCCACAGGCGCTGAGCCCTCAGGTATGATCTTATTTGGAAATAGGGTCTTCACAGAGGTAATGAAGTTAAAATGAGCTCACAAAGTTGGGCCCCCATGCCAGTATAACTGGCATCCTTATAAAAAGGGGGACATTTGGCTTGGCGTCCATAGCTCAGTGGTTAGGGCACCAGCCACATGCACAGGGGCTGGTGGGTTCGAATCTGGCCCGGGCCTGCTAAACAACAACAAAAATAGCCAAGCGTTGGGGTGGGCGCCTATAGTCCCAGCTACTTGGGAGGCTAAGGCAAGAGAATCACTTAAGTCCAAGAGTTTGATGTTGCTGTAATGCCACAGCTCTGTACCAACGGCGATATAGACTGTCTGAAAAAAAAAGGGGGGGGGACATTTGGGCAGAGACAGATTATAGAGGGTAGACAACATAAGTGATACTATGCAAAGATGGAGGCAGAGCTTGAGATTTTGCTACCACAAATCAAGGAATGTCTGGAGCCACCAAAAGCTGACAAAGGCAAGGAAGTCTCTTTCCACTGCAGGCTGCAGAGAACACAGCCACTGATACCTAGTCTTCTGCCTTCTAGCTACAGGACTTTGAGAAATAGGGTCTGTTCTTTTTTTTTTGAGACAGAGCCTCAAGCTGTCCCCCTGGGTAGAGTGCTGTAGCATCACAGCTCACAGCAACCTCCAACTCCTGGGCTCAAGCGAGTCTCCTGCCTTCACCTCCCAAGTAGCTGGGACCACAGGCATCTGCCACAATGCCCAGCTATTTTTTTGGTTGCAGCCATCATTGTTGTTTGGCAGGCCCGGGCTGGATTCGAACCCTCCACCTTAGGTGTATGTGGCTGGCACCCTAGCCACTTGAGCCACAGGTGCCGAGCCATAGGGTCTGTTCTAAGCCACCCAGTTCCTGGCACTTTGTTGTGGCAGCCCTGGAGAACTAATACAAATGTAATCTAATCCCCCTCAGTGGACGATCTTCAAAATGCATGTCAGGGGAGGCAGAGTCATCCCCCCATCTTCCTAACTCCCCACTTTCTCCGAAGATCGCTTTTCCCCCTCAGTCCCCTGCAACCTTAAGAGCAGTGATTCCCACATGCAAGAGTGTCCCTACCCTGCTCACCCTTCTCTGATGTGCTGCAAGAGTCTGCTACAACTGAATGCTCAAACCAAGGCTGAATGTCAGGATGGTGAATGTAATGTCATGTGGGTCCCACCCTGTGGGTGACCAGGCAATGGTGGGGGGGGGAGGCGGAGCCAACAACACACCTGCACTGCAGGGATGAGGGAGGCCCTGAGATGGGGTGGGAAATGATTGAGTCAACAGTGATCTAAGAGATAACCGCAGGATTGGCTTTAGGGACACACTGGGACCAGTATGTTGTGGCTCACAGGAAAGGCCACTGTCCCACTGAAATAGCACATGGTCAGCCAGGCTCAGTGGTTCACAGCTATAATGCCAACACTTTGGGAGACCAAGGTGGGGGGATCACTTTGAGTCCAGGAATTCAAGGCTGCAGTGAGCTAGGATGATGCCACTGTACTCCAGCCTGTGTGACAAAGTGAAACTGTCTCAAAAAAAAAAAAAAGCATTTTGAAGTCATTTCCTTAGAAACTTACTGGGCCAGTGGAGAGGTGAAGAGAGGAGGTTCTATTATGGAACACACGAAACCAGGTTGTTGCCCAGCTATGGAACCACATGCATCAGGACCCGTGCTACCCAGGGGTTTTGAGACCTGGCCCTCCCACTAAGGTCTTGCCCTATGGCCAACCTTATCTGATCCCTGCTGACCCTTGATGGAGGATCTCCTGGAGCTGGGCCTGGAGGCTGGTGTCCGCTTGGCCTTCCTGGCAGCCCAGCCTGGGCAGGCTTCAAAGACAGCAGCTGCAGCCTTCACTTTCTGGCCCCAGGCAGTGGGAGGGGTGGCGCAGGTGGCTCCCACCTGTAGGTTCAGCCCAGCGAGCCACCTGAAGAGAAAAGAGAGCTTGGGAAGACACTGTGCTGACTCCTGGCTGAGAACTTTCCTGATGAGATCAAGGGGGTCATCAGGAATTGAGGGGGGGGTACAGGGGCCCAGTGGGTGAGAGCAGGCTCTGCACAAAGAATCCTGACTCGCAGCTCACCGGTTATGTGACCTACAGGCCACTTCAAGCCTCTGATCCCTTCTCTGTAAAAAGGGGATAATAACAGTAACAAACAATTACAGGTTTAGATATACCAGACATTGTTCAAATAAATTCCTATAGGCTGACTAAATCTAATTCTTACAATCACCACCGTCCCCTTTTTCCAGATGGCCACAGAGCGGTCATGCGGCTTTCTCAAAGTTACTTGGTAAAATCACAGAGCCAGGACTGGAGCCCAGGTCTGTGGGACTCCAGGTTTCTCCAGACTTCTTGGTGCTTTTTTAGGTAATTATGTAAAGTGGCCACACCTGTCTGCTAGTTCCAGCCCACTAGGTGGCGGTATCTTTCCTATTTTATGGGGATGGACTCTGGGCTCAGAGAAGTCCACCACAACCCCACCCCACCCCCTGGCCCTCAGGAAGGGTAATGACCCTGGAAAGGGATCATTCTTACCAAGACTCTCCCCTGCCCCCACAAGCTGCTTGGCTAGGCACAGACATGGTGTCCCCAGGGAGACGGCAGGGGTTTGACTGAGAGCAGCTGGTGGGTCTCTGGGATTCCAGATGCCCACCTGTGCAGTGGGAGCAGCTGGCAGTTACAGTGGAAGGGATTGCCACTGAGGTCGATGAGCTCAAGCCGGCTGAGATCAGGCAGGGCGGGCAGGGCTCGAAGCTGGTTCTTTTGCAGGTACAGGCTCTGAAGCCCCAGGCCCAGGCCTGAGAAGGCCCTAGAAGAAATCTGCCAGAAGGTGCCAGGCCTTGAAGTGAGTTCCTGGCAGGCTCTTCCCACCCCGAGGTCAGGATGAGCCCCATCCTCCCCCCAACACGGGAGCTGGAAAGCCCTAGGTGGTCAGGTAGAAACTCCAGTTGTTCTAATGTCAAAGTGCTCTGTTCAAGTCACCAGGAATCCCAGTTCATGGTCCAACCCCCACCCATCCTCACTTCATAATGGTAAAACCTCTTGGGGACTCTCAGTGTGTACAAACAGTAAGTGGCCCTATGGCCCCAAATTCCTCCCTTCTCCATACTCCAGCAATGCTCTCTCTGGGCTGGCCTCTAGTTGTGTGGCACTGGATTCTGTCCTGCCTGTCACCCACACTGGAGATCTCGAGTAATGGGTGCCTAAGACTTGCTAAGTGAGTGGTTGTGGTGCATGGCCTGGCACTGCCTCCCCCACCCCCACTTACACACCCAGTGCCCACCTGCTCCAGGCCACTGCTGTTCAGGAAGAGATGCTGCAGTGACCTGCCCACGGGCCAGAAGGCTCCATCTCTCAGGGTTCTGAGTGGGTTCCCTGACAGTTCCAGCTCTAGGAGAGCAGGCAGCCCCTCCAAGGCCCCAGTGGGCACCTCTCGCAGCTGGTTCCTGTCAAGGTGCAACTTCTCCAGCTCTTGAGCTGGGCCCAGCGCCCCTGGGGACACTTGAGTGATACGATTTCCACTCAGGTAGAGCCAGCGCAAGACCTGTGTCCCCACTAGGTCCCCAGGTGCCAGGCGGTCCACAGAGTTGTCCTGCAGGTGCAGGGAGAAAAGGCTGGGCAGGGCGCCCAGTGCGGCCCCTGGCACCTGCCGGAAGCGGTTGCGCTCCAGGTACAGGTAGCCAAGGCGTGGGGCCCCTTTGAGGGCCGCAGCACTAAGACCTGAAAGCTGGTTGTCGGAGAGGTAGAGGTAGACCAGGTGGCCCAGCCCCGCCAAGGCGCCTGCTTCCAGATCCAAGATGCTGCAGTGTTGGAGGTGCAGCGACACCAGGTGACCCAGGCCTGTGAAGGCCGCTCGGGGCACCGAGGGGAAGTGGTTCCGCCTCAGGTCCAGGAGCTCAGTGTTGTTGGGGAAGCCGCGGGGCACCACCTGCAGCCCGCGGCCCTCGCAGCTGCTGTGCCTGGACTCAGGGGCGCAGGCGCAGGCGCGAGGGCAGGGACCTGCGGTGCCGTCCTCCTCGTCCGGGGCGCGCGGAGGGGCGCGGGGCCGGACCGCAGCCAGCTCCTCCTCCTCCTCCGCCGCCGCCGGGTCCCCGGGGCAGCGCAGGTCTGAGGGCCGCAGGGCGTCCAGGGCCTCGCCTCGCAGGCGCTGCGGGCCCCTGCACGTGCCGTCCGAGCGCACGCGCGCTCGCGCCAGCCACTCGAGCAGCGGCCGCGCCCGGCAGCCGCACCACAGCGGGTTCCCCTGCAGCCGCAGCCGGCGCAGCTGGCCCGGGACCTGCAGCGGGGGCAGCGTCTCCAACTGGTTCCCTCGGAGGTCCAAGGTGTGCAGACGCGGGCAGCGGGCGAAGGCCCTGGGACCCAGCGCCTGCAGGGCCCCGTGGTCCAGCAGCAGCTCCCGCAGCCCGGGAAGCGCCAGCCCGTCCTCCTCGCCCACGTAGGTGAGCGGGTTGTGGCCCAGCTCCAGACGGGCCAGGCCGCGGGCCTGGGACAGGGCCGGCCCGGGCAGGGCCTGGAGCTCGTTGTGCTGCAGGCTGAGCCGGCGCAGGGCGGGCAGGCCGGCCAGGGCCTCAGGGGCCAGCACGCTGAGCGCGTTGTGAGACAGCCGCAGCCAGCGGGTGCGCAGCAGCCCCTGGAAGGCCATGGTGGGCAGGTAGACCAGGGCGTTGTGGGCCAAGTTCAGCGTGGCCAGGGCGCCGAGCGCCCCGAATGCCCCTGGCCGCAGTTCCTCCAGCAAGTTCCGCTCGAGCTCCAGCCGCCGCAGCGAGCCCAGCCCGGCCAGCGCCTCCTGGGGCAGCTCGCGCAGGCGGTTGGACGCCAGGTTGAGGAGGAGCAGGCGTCCCAGGCCACGGAAGGCGCCCTCGGCTACCAGCTCCACCTGACAGTGCCGCAGGTCCAGGTGTGTGAGGTGGGGCAGGGCCTGGAAGGCAGCTGGTGGGAGCACCCTCAGCACGTTGCCCTGGAGGTCTAGCCGCTGCGTCAGCTGGGAGCGGAGAGGACAGCGAGGCTGAGGCGCAGTGAGCCGCCTTTGCAGGCGCTGCTGCCACACCTGAAACTTTCTCCTCTCCCCTTGGCTTTTCCTTACTCTCATAATCCTGGTCCCTGACGCCTCCTCTGAAAGCGTTCCTCCTTTGTCGCTTGCTTACCCCCCACGGTGGCACTTTTCACACTTATTGTCACTGCCTCTTTTCTTTCTCTCTCCTCCTCACTCCTGACTCCACAGGACAGAGACTATATATTCCCCTGCTGCATCCTGATTTTTGTTTTGTTTTGTTTTTTGCTTGTTTGTTTTAGTTTTTGGTTTTGAGACAGAGTCTCACTTTGTCACCCTAGGTAGAGTGCTGTGGCGTCATAGCTCACAGCAACCTCAAACTTCTGGGCTTAAGCCATCCTCCTGCCTCAGCCTCCCAAGTAGCTGAAACTATAGGTGCCTGCCACAGTGCCTGGCTAAATTTTCTATTTTTAGTGGAGATGAGATCTCAGTCTTGCTCAGGCTGGCCTTAAACTCCTGGGCTCAAACAATCCACCATCTTGCCTCCTAGAGTGCTGGGATTACAGGCATGAGCCACCACACCCAGCCTGTGGGGCTATAATGAATGTAATATTTATTTTTCATGACCCTGATCTGTCTAGGATTTATTGAGACAGAGTCTTACTTTGTCACCCTGGGTAGAGTGTTGTGGCGTCATAGCTCACAGCAACCTCAAACTCCTGGGTTCAAGCAATTCTCTTGTCTCAGCCTCCCAAGGAGCTGGGACTATAGGCACCTGCCACAGTGCCTGGCTATTTTTAGAGACAAGGTCTTGCTCTGGCTTAGGCTGGTCTTAAACTTGTGAGCTCAGGCAATCCACCCGCCTTGGCCTCCCAAGTGCTAGGATTACAGGCATGAAACACCACCCCTCGCCAATATTTATCTATTGGTATCTATAGGTCAGCTGCTTATTCTAGTTGCACTGTAAGGATTTTAAATAGATTATCTCCTATTATTGGTTACTATTGTCCCCATTTTACAGTGGTATAGACTGAGGCTTGGAGAGAAGTAGCCAGCCAGGCAATGGCAGAGCTAGTGGTGACCCACCCAGGCTCTTTCCATGGGCCTCAACCCTGTCTGCCCCACTGCCACCCTGTGCCCATGTTCCCACCCTGTGCCCATGTTCCCACCCTGCTGACCTCAGGGATGGCGTTTGGCACCTCAGTGAGATTCTGGTGGCGGCAGGCAACATGATGCCTGGAGTTGTCACAGATGCAGGTGTGTGGGCAGCGCTGGGCAGCTGCTGGCCAAGCTGGGCCCAGCAGTAACAACAGAAGCAGCAGCAGCACGAAGGAGACATGGGTGGAGCTCTGGGGCCTGGGAGAGGAAGGGAGGGTTGGTTGTGCACAGGGGCAGCATGCT